TATAATTCAACGTTGAATCCACGTTAAAACAACGTTGAGATTGGTTCACAAAGTGACGTCGTACATTTAACCATGAATGAACGTTAATTCAACGTCTGTTGGCTGCTGTTGAACCAATGTTTGTAAAACAACGTCAGAGCAACGTAGATATTAGGTTGTCGACGTCGCAACCTTTTTTCTGCCAAATTTCAACGTTGAAACAACGTCGTGTGCCCGGTGGGTTTTGACTTCTTGTAGGTTTTCCCTTATGAAAAAAGTCTATAGGTGGCCTATAGGTGCCTATAGGAAATGTTCCAATTCCCTATAGAAGCCTTTAGGCATCTATAGAGCTCTATAGGCTTATAGGCATCCCTATAGGTGACCTATAGAAAATGTTCCAATTGCCTATAAAAACCTATAGGTTTCCTATAGGAACCCATAGGTTGGCCTATGGGCCAGGCCTATAGACTCTTTTTGTAAGGGTTCTCACCATTTGTTCCATAATATGTTGACATATACCTCCTTAACCTTTAGTTCATTGATATCTCCTCCAATTATATTCCTGGCATTTGATTCCCACTGAAGAATTTGCTCCATACTCTCTAATAAATGATTTAGTAATTCGCATTCCTGATATGTGGGGTCCGGAGGGTGATAAACAGAGGCGACATAGTATTTGCTATTTTCTCCCTTAATTTCAGACTAGATGCATTCCAAATTATTTTGAAAGTTCAGAGGTTTACATTTCCAATCTTTGGAACAAATTATAGCAACACATCCTACATTTCAACCATCGCCGCGATCTTTTCTTACAATAAAATAGTTATTGGGACATACTAAATTTGATGATATCTGATAGTTCAACCATGTCTCGCACACGAACCAGATGTCAATTTCCCATGTAGAGAGCTCAACATCCAACACATAAGTTGCCTGAGGTTTAATTAACAAGAGCAATTTTGTAACCATGCATTTAGGTATGATTTTTTGGGCAGGAGGATCATTTCTGATGGACTTCATAGAAATTAAATTTGCATGCGTATTTCTAACCTGGTTGGGATGACATCTGCGTGATGATAACGTTGTCAAAGACAAATTATAATGTTTTGGGAATTTCTAGCAATACATATAATTTATTAGCTACTTAATAATAGTTATTCTGAGATCTCACACGAGCACTTTTAGGCCTACTTTGGGGGCCAAGGTCGACGTTATTATGTGCAACATTCAACATTGTGCGACATTAGGCGACATTGGCAATTTTCAAAGAAAAGTAGTGTGCGTCGCTGGGCGACATTGAGCGACATTGGGCGACATTAGGCGACATTGGACAAAACTGAACAGTAATATCCAGATAACGTCAAATATTATAATTCACAAATTATGCATCTACATAGAAAATACAACAGTAAATATCAAAATATAATTTAGTTATCAAAAATTGGTTCCTGTGGCAAAGAACACAATTAGTTTATTACAAATAGCAAAAATAACAAGGAACATTTCTCTATTAAACTGCTAGCCTGACAATTTACTCAAAGTTTATACCGTAGTACACATACATGCTCAGTGCATGGTACATTTACAGTATCATGGAACTCTGACTTCTTATTAAATTGACTGGTGTAAACACCTCATAGAGTTTTAAAACCTGTTTATGGACTGTGGTATGCAGTGATGGAAGTGAAAGAATTGGCATTTAAAATTAAGGTAAATAAATTGTCAACTAGCTAGCTATCATAAACGTGTACCATGTAAATCATGTACCACCATGCTTGAAATCTAACCCACCAAACTGGGAAACAAATATCTCAAATAGTGATAAAACTATAAATCTTATAGTTTCAATAAAAAATGGAACTTACTTTCAAAGCAAACAGATAGAAAAAAGTTTAATCCATATACATTTGTATAACTATACTGACTTACTTTACTAAAATTAGATGACAGTTCCTTTACTTTAACTGAACTAATAAATAATTAAATTCCTTTTATCCAAAACCTCAGAGACCTGTTCTTGTTCTGCTGGGATTTGAGCCCGCAATACCACGGCACGTCTAATTTAATGGTCTAGTTTCTAACTTGTACTACTTCGTGTAAGGAAGCATAATAATTGTTATGGCGGGCCTTGGCGACATTTTATATAAACAATCTGTACCGTAGATCTTTCTGTGGTGCGTTCATTGCTCTGTATCTTTTGCGATGATACCTAATTATGAGATGTCGATCATCATAGCTTCGTCGAAAAGTAAGTACTTTTATTTTTCAAACTACAAAGTCGTATTGGGCTATTCCATTTAATATCCGTACCCCCCCCCCCCTGTCGAGGATCCCTGGAATTCTTCAGGGGTAAAAGGTTTTGAGCTTGAAATTCTTCAGGGGTAAAGGCTTTTGAGCTTGGAATTCTTTAGGGGTGAAGGGTTTTGAGCTTGGAATTCTTCAAGGGTAAAAGGTTTTGAGCTTGGAATTCTTCAGGAGTAAAGGGTTTTGAGCTTGGAATTTTGGAATTCTTCAGGGGTGAAAGGTTTTGAGCTTGGAATTCTTCAGAGGTAAAGAGTTTTGAGCTTGGAATTTTGGAATTCTTCAGGAGTAAACAGTTTTGAGCTTGGAATTCTTCAGGGGTATGACAATGAAAAACATGTATCCTCAACAGGGGGGTACGGATATTAAATGGAATAGCCCATTTTGAACATACTATAGATGACTTTCTTTATTTATAGTCTATATATATATATACATATATATATCGACGGTATCGTTTCGGCCTTTAGGATACCTAGTGTACTTCACTAGGCTAGTGAGAGGTATTCTGTACTTTTGCACTCGCCAGTTATCATGAATGTGTCTTTGATAATAAGATCTAAGTTTGATTTCATATACAACATTTAATGGCATGTGATTGACTAATTTGACTGAGTTTCACAAAGAAACACATTGGAGAAGATAGCCAGAAGGCTGCCTTAACAACATAATTTAGGTAATTCTCATTGGAATAATGTGTTGTAATTCATATACATATAAACGCCAAATAACCAAGCCTCATTAATACTGGTGAGAGATGGTGCCCTAACAGCACATGCCCTTGGTGTTTGTGTACATGTATTTATGAAAAAAAACATGCAGGAAACTAACAAATAAATAAGGAATAGACTAGTATGGACGACAAACTCAAAGTGCAAAATTGGGCATGCTTGTGTGAGATTATGTAACATTAGGCGAAATTAGGCGCCATTAAGCGAATAGACTGTCAGGCAAAGTTCAAAAATTGGGTGCACATGGGCGAAAGTGGGCGAAATTAGGCGACATTAGGCGAAATTAGGCGAAATTAGGCGACATTAGGCGACCTTGGCCCCCAAAGTAGGGGGTAGTTCCTCGGGTAGAGGAGAAGTGATCACGTGATCGGCTAGTTGTGTTGTTTGTGGCGTCAGATATAACCAAATCCCTATCTCTAAGCCTAATCCTTACCCTAACCCTCACCCTAACCCTAACCCTTACCCTAACCCTTACCCTAACCTCAAAACTAATCGCTATAACTAACTGATGACGTAGTCTGTGATGCAAATTCTTCTACCCGAGGATGTACCCACCGCAACACCCAATGACGGAAGTGAATAAAACCAGCTATTGACCAATGACGAAGTAGAACTTCATTTGACCACAGAGTAGAGACATACAGAGACGTAACTAGTGTACCCACTTTTTTTGTGCGCATGCTCGGCAAGTTACTAGATGCATGCATCTGATTGGATGACGACCTGATGACGACTCACTTTAAACTTGCTGAGCACGCGCAGTTGATCATTTTTCGCCCGGTCGCCTGAAAAAAAGTGGGTACATGATAACGAAATCTTCCGCAGTGTTTACAACGGTCAGTTACGTCTCTGTATGTCTTATCTACTCTGTGATTTGACAGTTGTAATTAGTATTCGAAAAATTTGAATCAATCATACATCAAGACGAAACAATACGTCACTTCCGTCATAGGGTGCACATCGTACGAAAATAATCGATGAATATTGGTCGCCAAATATGCAAGTTAAACGACGGCTTATTGAAATTTATTTCCTAGCGTAGTAAGAATAGATAATCTCTAGCTTGCATGAAAAAATTATGTTTTTTTTTATAATATATTAAGCAAGTTATAGCCATCCTAAAATAACACCCCACTGACTGATTCCTCCCTTTCCTCGTTTCTTATTGTCTACGAAGTATAGCGAAATGTGAGCCCACAATAATCTAGAACAGCGGAGTATATTCATTTGGTGTTCATGTTACATGAAGTAGGAATAAAAAATCATACAAGGCATGCAATGTTTATAAACTTTATATGGTTTTACGACAACTTCAACAGACTTGTTAGACTATAAATTGTAAAATATGCATTTTTAATGCACGCATGGGGATTCTACAATGAAACAATGAAAGATATTACAATTAACAAGGTAAGACGGCGTTTGTAATTGCATTGTTTTACTAGATAAACTCGACTCCTCTGCTCCCTGTGATTAAACAGGATAATTTAGTTATGAAACTTACAGCTTCGTCGGAAAGGAAAATAGTTCATGTTTTAGGCAAAAGTTAAAGCAACAAAATTCATAAACATTAATAATTCAAGGCAAACTTGCCCCATATTTCGATGCCCGATTTCCCTTAGTCCATATTTTATTCATATTTCTTCAAACATTAATTGCTTCAAAGATCATTGTGTGAAACGTGATTTTCCAAATATATGTTTTTGAAAAATTGAAATCTTGCTTACCCAATCCTGGCAAACAGCCATATTTTTTTAGATAAGTGAGGTCCACCCATGAACCATAGTCACGCACCCGCGATACTTGATAAAACTTAGACTTCGCTAGTGCTTTCCTTACCCCGGGTGTAAAAAGCCGGGCGGAATTAGTACCCTCGCCCCGGGCTTACGCCCGGGACGGGGCTCCGCGCCGTTGGCTCGGGGAAAAAGTTTATCCCTTTTTATTACAATACGTCTTGAGTTATTTTACCAAATTCGAATTCTCGTGGATTTGGGAAATTTTTTATGGATTTCTTCTTACTAGACTAATACTCGCTTTTTTGGAACTTTGAAAGACGTTGTAGTAATTTAGAGGCTGTTTTGTAGCCTATATGATAATGGCTGCAGCTTACAGAAAAACAAAAGTACTAAAAGTAGGCCTACTTTGGGTACATCCTCGGGTAGAAGAATTTGCATCACAGACTACGTCATCAGTTAGTTATAGCGATTAGTTTTGAGGTTAGGGTAAGGGTTAGGGTAAGGGTTAGGGTTAGGGTGAGGGTTAGGGTAAGGATTAGGCTTAGAGATAGGGATTTGGTTTTATCTGACGCCACAAACAACACAACTAGCCGATCACGTGATCACTTCTCCTCTACCCGAGGAACTACCCGTTGCGGTGCACATGCGACGAACGATCTGCAATGTTTCCTCCCTTTCTTCATCTCTTACTCGTTGATATCTCGGCCAGTGTTCGTTAGCTTTTCGGGAAATACAAATCTACGGTAATTCAAGGCAGCGGAGTATATTAATTGTTGAAATTCATATTTTGGTTTTATATTCGGTAATTTTGATGAATAAATATGCATTTTGAATGCACACATTGGGACTCTACAATGAAATATACTAGAATTAACAAGGTAAGATGGTATATGTTTTGTTTTACTAGATAAACTCGACTCCTCTGCTCCCTGTGGTTTAATTTAAGAAAAAAGCTTAAAATGTAAAGGAGAACAAATTGATTTGAAGTCGGAACTGAAATTAACGAATAATTTGAACTTATTATGTTTACGGCAAATGTAGTTTTAATAGTTGAATGCAAAACATTTGAAACTGATTTTACGAAGCATTTTAAGTTAAATTTTACATTAAATCAAAACACACAAAAAGCTGAATAACATACCTACAGTACATGTTTTGGAAATTTATTATTGAATAGCTAAAAGTCCTAATTTTTCAACTATTTTTCCGTTTTGTACAAAGAAAATAAAAAAATTGAAAATTTAAAAATATCGCGTTGTCATGGAAACACTTCAACGAGCCTGCGTACAGTATTGGCCATTTCCAAATACTTCTAATCATTCATTGAAGGGCTTGAATCCGGGGTTTTCCATTATTTTAGTTTACTGTACGATCATCCAGATTAAATTTTTTAATTATTTCTGACGTTTCGGCTACCTACGGCAGCCATTATCAAAGACGTGTTACAGTTACAAAAATTTTACAGTTATAATAATTTTATCTTGCGTCAAAAATGACGTGGGCGTGTTCGTGATGTTGTTTGCTCGCGCCTGCGTTCAAGGCATGAGAGCCTGCGTTCATGCGTGATTAGTCCAGCGTATGCTCCTGGCATATCGCGGCAAATCAGCACCAGCCGTTTATTAGATAATTCATCCTACCACCCAACCTTGCACAAGTCAGCTACAAGAGCAACCTTAGTGAAGAGAGCGCATGCAGTTTGCAGTTCTAGTGAAACCCTCGAAGATGAGTTGCAGCACCTTGATAAAGTTTTTACCATCAACAAATATTCTAAACCTTTTGTGAACAGCGTAATTGAACATTCCCGGAAAACAACACCAACTACCGACGAAACTGAACGGAAGAAGACCATTGCCACCATCCTTTACATCAAAGGTACATCCGAAAGAATTGCAAAAATCCTACAACCTGTCAACATTAGTGTAGCTCACAAACCAACGGCAACGCTATGAAATACCTTAATGAAAGTGAAAGATCCAACCAATACAAAGACCCGGATAGGAACAGTTTACAAAGTGACCTGCGCTGAATGCCCCCAACTTATTTCGGTGAAACTGGACGTACTCTAGATTGTCGCATTAAAGAACATAAGCGATCAACAGAGAAACAAGACGTGGAGAATAGAATTGCGGTTCATCATATGGAAACAAATCATAGAAGGATGAGAGAATGTTCTTAGAAAGGTGGTTTACAAAATGCGATGAAAACAGCATTAACATTTGCCGCGATATGCCAGGAGCATACACTGGACTAATCACGCATGAACGCAGGCTCGCATGCCTTGAACGCAGGCGTGAGCAAACAACATCACGAACACGCGCACGTCATTTTTGACGCAAGATAAAATTATTATAACTGTAATTTTTTTGTAATTGTAATACGTCTTTGATAATGGCTGCTGTGCGGGTAGCCGAAACGTCAGAAATAATTAAAAAATTTAATCTGGATGATCGTACAATAAACTAAATTAACTTCTAATCATGTTAATTCGATGTTTGGAAAATATAGGCAAGGGGTTGCTGCATGAATATATTTCTAGTAATTCCTCTAAATTCTTACATGGCCGTTTCATATACAATTGCAAGTCGAAGTAACCATATACAAACATATTATTCAAATAAAAAAAAAGTAAAATATTGGCGGCTATTGTCCAAGTAAATTTAGAATAGAGTCACAGAGAAACAGTGCGGCAGAATATATTAAACGAAAAATATAGTACATGCAGCAAAAGCACAACCTCGCAAGCCAGGCTGTCTACTTCCGCTTCCCTCCCAAACACGCTCAAGCAGAAACCCTGCAGGTACAGACTGGTCACGTGACACCCCAAAATCTGGGGGATTTTTAATTAGTGTTCCCCTGTATGCTACTCAGGGAGGAGTGGCTGAGTAATACATCATCGTTCACAGTTCACACTAAATGCATTCTGAACGAACCGTAATGCGATATACTGTATGAAGGAAAAGCCAATGATACTCCAAAACAAAGGCAATAAATCAGGCGATTGCCGTATGCGAACCACTGATCAGTGATGCGAACCGATTCAGTTCCTCGCGGCCGGTTCTTCGCAGATGTGAGCATGCGCAGACCGGACTGTACCCGCCCTATCTTTAATGTAGCTGTATATGCTCGTTTTCTCCTGTTTACTAAGCTGTATATGTCTAAACGATAGGTACTACTAAGCGATATTGCTTTGCTACATCTTCTTTTATATATTCAGATTTCAGCGGCTGTTCACTTAAATACACAGCGGCATGCAGCGATATAAAGCGTCGTACTTTTAACTCATTAGAATGATTAAAACGTTTCATAACTTTTTTTACTGTTCCACTTTCATGTCCAAGCTGTTTTGTTTTCGATGTCAACTTCATATTTCACAATTTAATGCATCGCGGTACTACGCTATAAATGATTTGTGTATGATTGCCAACCTGTGACTGTGTATTAAATAATTAAAGGTTGGGCTCCGTTTTACTGGGGGTTTTTGCCGAGAAAAATAGATGGTTTGATCATCGCCTATACGAGACCAATTATACCCACTCAGCTATATAGGCTATAAAACTATGTAAATTTACGTTTAATAATTCATGTTTTGTTTGTGATGTTACTCTGGGTGCATATCAACAACGGACGAGCTTGAAAAATCTGCCCGGCCACGGTGGGAATCGAACCTACGACCTTTGGAATATTAGCCCAATGCTCTGCCAACTGAACTACGCGGTCAGGACGGTTCGAGTAAGTGATATTTCGGAACAGAATCTGAGAATCTAATTCCTTCGATACCAGTGTAATCTAGTAATGTGTAGTGATAATAATATATATAACTATAGTAATAATAGTATAACCGTCCTGACCGCGTAGTTCAGTTGGCAGAGCTTTGGGCTAGTAACCTAAAGGTCGTAGGTTCGATTCCCACCGTGGCCGGGCACATTTTTCAAGCTCGTCCGGTGTGGATACGCACTCAGAGTAACATCACAAACATCACATTCACCTGAAGTACACAACACCAACACAGAAAAAATAATTCATGTTTGTTTACGTTTGTCTTATCTCGTCAGTTACATATGTCATATTGTATCCGTTCGAACCAGCATGCTCTTTTTTTATTCGCCCAAGGCCAAGAATTCCTTTAAATCTTTTTTAGTTCGATATCAGATAAAACTAAAAGCGGTAAATTTAGAATTTGTTTTTAAACGGAATCAGTCAGTGAAGCGCATTGTTTTTATTTGGCTAGCGCTCTTGGTCTATAAAGCTTTAAAAGTAATACTAAATATTCCGGTTATACATTTTACAGTACAAAAATCTAAACAGCTAAAGTAATATAGATATTGTTGAGTACCAGAAAATGGCGACAATTTGGCCACTGCTTGTTTACTAATTTGCATATAATCCACATACAATGGCTTTCAGTTTTTACCAGGAATATACAGGGTGAAAACGTTTCAATTAACTGAAAATTATTGCAATCTGAGAACTCGGACTATACTGTTTGCCGACCTATTGATCAATAAAGCATTCATTTACTAATGTTGCCGTGGCATACGGGTACATCTCATGGCGGCGAAGTCGTGTTCAAGAAAATCACTTTCATGTCATGGTGGGACCACTCAGTGAGCTTCGGCAGGGTTAGAGAGATTCTAGGGGGGTTAACCCCACCTCCCTAGCCTCCTCCCCAGTAAATTTACTCATGTTTAGGCTCAATAGTGGTGATTTTAGCTCATTTGCCTGCATATAATTAGTGACATGCATGGGGTAAACTTTAAGTTGCAAAATCAGAGTACACTCACTTATGCAGGGCAGTTTGAACGTTTTCTAAAATATCGCCAAGTTTATATAAATTTTATCATTTTTCACCCATTTGCGCAGTGATAAAATTCCCTTTGAATAATCCCTGGTTCCAGGTGGGGTTCCAGCTTTTATAGACACGACACTTTGACCTTTAGAATCGATTTACGATACAAACCTCGCAATATTATGACTCGCAATCGGACAAGAAAGGGAAATATCGCTCGCAAATCCACTCTAAATGGTGTTTTTGATACCGATTCGAACAAGACTATTACGAAGAAGATACGTCCGAAGGGGCCGAAGTTATGTTCAGCGAAATGTATGGCTAATCTATATATTTGTTCAGAAAAATGCTTAATCTGATAACATACAATCTCGCTTGACTTTCAAAGGTCATAAATGTATGTATGTATGTATGTAAAACTTTATTTCAATTATTATATATAAAACATTATTTTAAATCGCTACAATATTGGTAATAACTAAAACTATTGCAAGGAATTAGTTGGTATTGTCTAATTGAATCAAATGGTAGTATTTTTGTCTGTATAATATACACCAAACCGAAGATATATGAACGAGAACTGCCGTGATAGAACGCCGAGAAAGAGTTAAATTGATCTGAACTTCAATATTTGAATGATATCCTAGTACACTAGTTGAAACTACACTTATAACTTACCGTGCATGTAGAAGGAATATATCCTCGATCCTTTTGTGTTGATGAGATTCTAATGCGTAAATCGCTTTATGCACAATACAAGTTCATCTACACTTTACTGTACAAAGGCTTGAAAGAAAGGCGACGCGATTTTATATAGACGCAGCTTCAAAATCAGGGAATTCCCCTTATTATATTGGGAAATCACCTAGTGTTTCATTCAGAATTTTAAAGTGTATAAAAAGCTTATTAATGTATAAAACTGGGAATTATTTAGCCATTCAACCCATAATTTGTACATTCGGGTATGAGCAAGAAAATCTGTTACCAACTGTGTCAAAAAAGTAAAATTTTAAACAATTTTGTTCATTCAGGACACCAGGGATTTTCCCCCTGTTTCAAGATGACGCTAAATAATTTATGGTAAAATATTCAGAGAGCGTATAACTGTATTATTTGATGGATGTATGCCAGCAATAGCACACCGATGATTCGCATAAATTTATTCGGGTATATTGTCACACAGAAATATCGCAGTTTCAGTTTTAGCGTTTTCGTACATGAAGACCAACATCAAAGGGTTTTCCTATACAGCATCCGGCCTAGACTAAATTGCTACAAGTTGACTCGTATCATTTAATATAACTGCGAGGTTGACCTCAAATTTCTTATAAGAGGGTGTTTATATGGAACGAGCTAGCCCGTGGGTACCCTCTCTAGCTCGCTTTGGCGAGTTGATTTCATCTCGTATTTACATGAGACTTTTGAGGCTGCCTGGCACAGCAAAACAAACCAGTGGTCTCGTCCCTATAAATACTATAATATAAATACGTTTTTTCACGAACCTGAAATTCGCACTTTCGCGAGCAACGCGTTCACGGACATGACCCACAGAATCGTTCACCGAGATGTTTTAAGATCGAAAAATATTAGCGATAATGCAAAGCTCGCTTCCCTTGAGGTCGTTTGAGCACTCCGGCCCCATTACGCTCTGCGCATGTCTGGATGCGTTGAGTCACCGTGTTGTACCACATATCTTGGTGAGAGCAAGTTCATGGGATATAAATACGAGTGTCTCACGTATCAAGACGTATACCAAGCTGCACTGACGAGGCGTTGAACGCCGAAACATGCATGTCTATATGCCGAAACATGCATGGCATATATATCTATATCTATATATATATATATATGTATGTATATATATATATATATATATATATATATATATATATATATATATATATATATATATATATATATATATATATATATATATATATATATATATTTCTAGGCTTAGACAAAGTTTATTTTAAAAATTACTTCGCCAATGAACTCATATAAAATCAGTCGTTTTTTAGCCATTTAAAGCACTTGTAGTCGTGTTTTATCAGATATAAAACGCTCGGCTCCGCCTCGCGTTTTATATCTGATAAAACACTCCTATGCGCGTGCTTTAAATAGTATATATATATATATATATATATATATATATATATATATATATATATATATATATATATATATATATATATATATATATATAAATATCTGATAAAACACTCCTATGCGCGTGCTTTAATATATATATATATATATATATATATATATATATATATATATATATATATATATATATATATATATATATTGGCGTAAACATAGCAATAACACTCCAGCTAAGTGAACCTAGCAATAACATTTTAAAACCACTTAGGCGAGCCAGCCTTGTGCCCTTGTTGCTGCGGAGCGAGCGACCCTGAAGCGAGCGAGCGAGCGTAGCAGCAGCCTAATACGTGCAGAGAGGGGGTTTTGAACTACTTTTATTTAGCGCATGGAATTGTGGTCGTGCGCGCTTTCTATGCGCGGAACACAAATTTTAAACTCGCTTGAGTCTTCGAATTTTTATCGAATTCTAAAGCTTTTTCAAGTCTAATGTTACAGTTACATTTGTTTTGGATTTTGGCCACTGTCAGTTATATACTTTTATGAAGTTTTGGTTTCTTAGTGTGATAAATCTGTGTATATAGTCTATATAATGTGGTAAATGCAGCAGGTAGGCAGCAGGAGACAGACTTGATATGAAATCTGATCTTAATTTACCTGTATGTCAATGAGACGCACATGATTAATACATGTCACCTCTGATTCCCCTTTAACCCCTGGTCTTTGCAACTTCAATGTATATTGCTTCTTCTCAGTTCCATTCACAGCTCACTTGTCGCTGCGAGTAGTCACTGTGCTTGATATAATTTGTGCTGTTTACTGTAGTTCTATTTGCTTTTAATGCACGCAGCAATCCCTACTTTGTGGTTACCCTAGTTTATGACTATATCACTTGAAACAAGCTTTTGGAATAGTTTATTAGCAAGTTCTTCCTGCCTTCTGGTATTCAGTCTCTGGACATTTGTTATACTAACTTAGTGCTTCATCATATGTAATCCCAGGGAATATGATCTTCATTGCTCTCCTTTGTAACGATTCAAGGTGGAACACCGCTGGACTTGCGTACTCCATAACAATTAGCCGAATACACGTAGTGTAAAATTGGAGCAACTCCTTAAGGCTGATTTCCACTGTATACAATGGTCCAAAACCGCAATGCATTGTGGTATACCGACGAGACCTCCTCCTAGTTGTATTTTCCTTAAAACCTTAAATTAGCCTTTCCCACGCCACCATTTTTAGGTGGTGACTTTTCAGCTCAAGTCCGAGAGATAACTCCACATAACAGCGACTTTTAATATTTTTTGGACAAATCATCGAAAATTTGCTTTGTAAATGGTTAGTTTATTTTGAAAAATTGCTTTTCCAATTGTTGTCATTACCTGAATTGGTTAACGAGAATTAAGTGGCACCCAAGAACGGCGGATATTGCTAAAACATTTTAAAGTTTTCTTCAATCGCCCTATATCGCCTAAACTCGAATCGCTTAAAATGTGTAACTTTTACCTATAAAATCGCGTTATTTCGTGGTAAGTTTAGGCTAGTTTACCATCCCAGAGTAGGGCTTATCTTAACCAAATAAATAACTCGTTCTCTTTTATTCATTTATGTTATTGCAATGAAAGACAAATCCTTCGGCACATCGGTAGCCAAGTATTGCTTCGATGTCGTGACAAATTTTGATCAATTAAAACTAGACGTAACAGTTATTAATCTAGTCTCTCCTAAAGTTAATACGGATCCATGCAAACGGGAAGCGGTGTGAAGTCAGTGAAGAAGATACAAATACCGGGAAAAACAAATCTTTGATGTTATTATTGTCACGCTGATTACAGTATTTATGTAATTATGTACTGTGCAGACCGCAAGCTTCGAGATCATATTATATTCGAGATAAACACATTCAAGCGTCAGCGTGCTAATATATTGCATGCATGCAAAACGAATTAAGATGACAGGGATTTCCTATATAATGTGGCAGCCATGCGTGGATACAGCAATGCGCAACTGCCTACACTGTAAATTAAAAAGGGCTGAAACGACCCCAAAAATGGGGCCAAAACGGTGACCGCAAAATAGATCTTTTTTGGGGGTCAAAATGGCACCTATAACAATGCGGCCCCTAGGGGTGATTTGGCCCTTCCAGTGTAAGGGCTGTTTCAGCTTTTAGTACGAGCTGTTTTGGCAAAAGCAGGGGCTATTTCAACTTTCAATAGAGGCCAATTCAGAAAATTAGGGGGCTATTTTGGCATTTCAAGGAGTTAATTTGGCTCCCATTTGTGGTCATAATGAACCCCAAAAAGCGTTGATTTGGCTCGCTAAGCGGAGCTGTTTTGGCTACTGAGTTACAGAGTAGTTTCAGCCCCAATGAAGAGCTGCTTTAGAACCGAAGGAGCCGATATAGCTTTTCTAATGGTGCAGTTTTTTAGCACCCAAAGGGCCAATATGGTTCTATTTCTGAGCCATTATAGACCACAAGAAAGGCCAATTTAACCCCTACTTTTTTAACCAGAGCTATTTTGGCCCTCCCAGAAGAGCACAGTTTCAGCCCCAAAGAAGAGCTGCTTTAGAGCCGAAGGAGCTAATATAGCTTTTTTCATGGTGTAGTTTGTAGCACCCAAAGGGTCAATTTGGTCCAATTTCAGAGCCATTATAGATCCAAAAGAAAAGCCAATTTAACCCCTACTTTGTTAACCGGAGCTGTTCTGGCCCTTTCAGAGGAGAGCTGTCTCAGCCCAATGAAGAGGTGCTTTAGAACCGATTGAGCTGATATAGCTTTTTGGTGGTGCCGTTTTATATAGCATTTAAAGTCATGTGCATGATTTGGTTGCACTCTTGCATGTAGACGTATTCTACATGTATATAATGAATCAGGCAAAAATAATGGGGTTTATTTGGTCTTATTACAATTTCTCCAACAGACCAAGATTGGAATTAATTATTGTAATATAAGTTGAGATAAATAATGTTCCAATTTCTGTATTATAAGCACAATACTATAACTAAAATTACAATATACATGCACAGTAGTCAGTATTATGTATCTCACCGAAATGTGGGAACCATCAAAAGATTCGTACATATATGCCATATGGCTCTGAAAGTTTACAATTCTAATTTTAAAGAGCAATCAACTTGTGATAGCAATAGCAGGCGCGGTTGTTAACGTGAACGCAATACGAATAATTTCTAATACATTACCACAGTTCGGTGAGATGTGAGACAATACACACATTCCATCAATAACATTAACTTGGGTTAGCATATGTCAACGTAACTCTCAAAAAGTGTAAAATTACTGTAGTACTAATATTCATGAGTCATGACAAGTCATTGAAGAGGGCTGTGACCCTCATTAGTGAGCTTAAGCAAGTGACGTTTTTGACAACACTGACGGCATGAGCAACGTCAGAAGACTGGGTCAAGGACTGTGATTGGTGAAAAACGTCAACTTTACCTCCGGTCGACGTCCGTGTTGTCAAAAACGTCACTTGCTTAAACTCACTATTGGCAGTTGTATGCCATTTTCTGTGTTGCCCATGCACTACTATAGTCTGCAAGGCAGACAAGATGCTCTTCGTGTGGCAGTACTCAATATTGAAGATGTAAAAACTTGCCAATAAGGCGATAATTGCATCAAAACAACTGTTGCTTGTTATGGAACTTTCATCCTTTCCCTCGATAACGTATGATTGACAGTTTCTAGTCGTATTCTAGTTCGCTGCCAGCGGCCACAATATGGGTTGTGATAAGTTTGAAATTGTATCATTTGCATCTTTGGACTCCTACAAAAAAATACAATTAGAATGTATGCAATAATCCGCAATTACAGAGGGTTATAGGACACATAAGATATAAGGTCTCACCAAGAAACCCAATAATAAAGCTCTTACATACATCAGACACAAAATACCTGAAAAAGTATATCACACCCGACCCCTATAACCCTTCCAAAAGCATTAAGTATAACATACCAATATACAGTAATATTTTGAAATATCAAAATATATGCTGCCTCGCAACAAACTCTCCTAAAAATAAGCTCACTATAAGCACACAAATATTATTCAAATTTACAGTATACTGTATCATAAGAAAAATAAATACAAAATTGGAAACATGAATTTCCATAGCCTGGTACAAGTGATTCAGGGAGACTGCATAAAAACATAATACATGATATACATATAACTATACAATCTTATTTAACCCATTAAGCACCAGGGCTCTCCCCTTTACGAGTAGAATAGGCGTTCGTCAGAGTAGAGTAATAAAGTTCAAAATCATTTTGTTTGAATTACTTCACCTATCTATTTGTTTAAAATTATGTATGGTAGATTCTGTTGTATGAACACTTGCAAAATTACTCAAAAAAATTTGAAATATAATGTGACATTATGTTGCCTTGACAACACTTGACACAACGCGAGCCTGTGTTCAGTGCTGGCCAATTGCTAATAGTTCATGTTAAATCAATGTTTGGAAAATATAGGCTAGGGGTTGCTGCATGCATTTATTTCTAGTTAATTAAATATTAATTGGACATACTCATGTCACTAGTGGTATTCATTATATCTTGGTCAGACAAAACAAATTCCATATTTAAGAAGTTTGGCAACCCACAGGTTAAAATAGACATCTTGTGAATTACATCACAAACGATTAATAAATTTTTGCTGCAGCAAGCACAGATTCACCAGAAACATGTAACCTCATGAGTTTACACACCCCAAAACAACACTTTCCTAAAATGACAGCTTTCCTTCATCATTTAATTTTATAACTGGACTTAGCTGATCTGTTCTTATAGTTTTTATATTTTTAGACTTTTCGTTATTCAAGTTTGAAACGAGACCAAGATTGGTAGCGTTTAATTTTGACAATTTAAGAGAATGTAGTTCTGCATTACTGTTTTTCTCTGTATCTCATCCTTAATAAGCCTACCATTTTTAAATTTCAAATGTACAACAGATACTTTGGGATATTTATTGCCTCTTCTTTCCTCTTCTATATATTAATAGTTTTTCTTTGGAAAATATCAGTAATCATATTTCTAATCTGTACAGTTCTGTTCCTACACAACATCTTCGCACCCACACATCGTGTTTAGGACTGAAGTTCCAGATCATGGAAATGCTCTGCCAATAGCCCTGCGGGTTCCCAAAGAGTGTATAGCCCATGTATATCATAGTACAAACCATAGAAATAAAATTAAAACAATATATTTCCATTTCAAATGCTTTTTCATTAATGTACAATAACTAGGGAATTTTATGTAAAGTGCAATTCTACATTCTCTTCGATTGACTTGAATATGTTTTTGGCTAGCATTTATTTGATGTAGCTACAACAAATCCACTAAGTTTCAATGGACATAGTCACATAGCATCTCCCTATTTGAAATAAGCCATAAGGCATTACATTTGGTATTTTAATATCTTAATTATTACAGAAATGATTGCACAAGTCATGAGTTTTGACAAATGTTGATCTATATTTTCAATATTAACCCCATTAAGCACCAGCGTTCTCCTCTCGAGACGGAGTAAAATAATAAATTAGGGTACAATGCGACTCAATGTGTTAACAACACACATGGGCAGATAGGCCAGTTAACCCATTAAGTACCGGAGCTCTCTCCTTAATGAGTGAAATTGTCTGGCGTTAGAAAGAGTAAAATAATAAATTAGGGCGCAATGCGACTCAATGGGTTAACTAGACACATGGGCAGATAGGCCAGTTAACACATTAAGCGCCAGCGCTCTGCCCTTAATGAGTAAAATTGTCCTGCGATAGGCAGAGTAAAATAATAAATTAGCCCGCATTAGGGAACAATGCGATTCAATGGGTTAACTGTAAACATGGGCAGATAGGCTAGTTAACACATTAACCGCCAGTGCTCTCCCCTTGATGAGTAAAATTGCCTAGCATTAGATAACCAGAGTAAAATAATAAATACTTAGTGCGCATCAGGGCGCAATGCGACTCATTGGGTTATTAACATCGACAATGTTTCAAATGTCAAATCTGCCATGCTCAATATAATCATAGATTCGACTATTAATTTGACATGTAAGTCAGATGTCCTGTATACAACAACATCAATATACAGTATACTATTAAGAGGAGATTTTTTAGAATATCGAGTAATTGGCGCTCAAAAATACCGTCATGCTTTGCGCGAAAATGGAGCAATTTGTTGTTTTTGCGAAAATGGCTGGGTCAAAATTTAAGTCGATAAATTACTGGGCAAATATTCGAGTGGGAAGTAGTTGGATTTTAAAATAAATACCAGAAATGAATTCTGCATATCATGGTTAGTCTACTCAGAGCTCCTACAGCCGTGATGTACCAATTTTGGAATAAAACGACCACTTTCAATTTGTGGAAGGGCGAAGCAGGAGTGATGTTTGACGACAGAAGTTACTCAGGTATGACAATTTTGGGAACTCTATTTTCACATTAAACAACATTATATCTTGCTGAATTTTTTTGTAAAAGAGAGGTCCATTACCACACTTTGTAGCAACGGTAAACTGGTTTGAGCTGTGTGCCTTAATCCTCAATCATTGGCAATTTATTTCCTAGAAGTTGTTTATTTTCCCTTGTTGCCCATGGAAGTTATGGTTGCTGTGTATATTTTATCATATTACTGCTTCAATCGTGCATGAATCTCAATAATTTTTATATAGTCACGTAGCTGGATATTCTCGATATAAAGTGACATAATTTGATGCCTGTACAAAGAATAATCGACTAATAAGTGTCAATTTTGGTTGACACATTTGTATAAAATTTGCCCCATTTTGACAACAAATTTCAAAAGTATAACAATTGCCTAAAAATTCGATTTTCTATACAACCGTGTGAGCGACACTTGTAAGCTTTATTGGATGTTTAGTTGACTTAGTGAAGGTTTAAATCACAATTTTTGAAAGAAATCGGAGTGGGAGGTCCTCGCAATATTTTTTATGTTTTGACCTCAAGTCAGCCATTCTGCCAACTGTTTACAAAAAATGATATAAGTTTCTATTTCTACTATGAAATAAGTAAATTTGTTGTTAGCTTTCAAAATATAAAAAACACAGCATCTATAGATACCAATAGTAGTATTAGAATGGGAAATGGAACTTGTGAAAAGTTGAAAAGAAAAATATTGGAATATTGATTATGATACATTGGTTGAAAGTCTGAAATGGGAGCAAATATTTAGAGGTTGGATGTAAAAATCCAATAGTTTTCCTAAACTGTGTGTGCGACAGTCGTAAGCTTTATTGTGAGGAAAGAATACGTAATGTAGGCTAAAATATTGAATTTTGAAGAAAATCGGGGTGGGAGGTCCTCGCAGAATTTAGCCATTTTTATTGGCTTTCCTTGTTTCAATTTCATGACATTATATTAAGGTGGCTCTATGATGTTTTGCAAACTGTGGTAAAATATATCCATTACTTACTACAAAAAGTTGTCCAACTGTAATTTTTTGCTTTTGCGACTAATCCTGAATGGTTTAAATCTTAGTTATTATACTTTGAGGTTTGTATATAATACTTATGTTGTGTTTTCCTTTTAGGATAGAAGATTTCACAGAATTTCATTTACTGTGATTTTCACTTGACCTTGGAATGCCAATTGGTTTGTTGAAATGTTTGAACATTTGAACGAAAAGTTTTATCGTTACATAATGTATGTTGTCAAGGCGGTGGCACCATGTTGTCAAGGCCATTTTTGAATGTTGTCATGGTGCTGTCTACCCTGTGAGGCAGAGGTTTATAATGCTCCAAGCTATAATAGACCTGATAGAAACGCCACTAAGCGGAAGTTAATGTAACTTTGCTAGTTTGCGTAGTCACAATTTTCAATTTGGAATTGCTTAAATGTCAATTATGTGCAAGTATATTGCAAGATCGCAATTATATTTCAGTAAAAGGGACAAATCTGGGCGATAAAATGAACAAATCTGGGTTAATTAATATTCAAAACTTAGCCTAAAACCTTTGTAATTAAACAAGTAGTATTTAAAACATGAGGAAGGGCATTTTATCATATTAAAACGCGAGGCGCAGCCAAGCATTTTAGATATGATAAAACGCGAGTTTGAGTGTTCTAAATGACTTCAAATACGCCGCATTGTAATGCTAATTAGGATGAAACATTATAATTTATTATCATGTATAAAGCCACCACATGTGACTTATTATGGTTGATTTCATAGGCTAAAATGCTTATGAATTATTAATGATTTTTGAAATATATTTAATATATTTTGTTACAATGAGCCAATGACCTTTGTTCGGATATCTTGTTTATGTTTTATAAATTGACAGTTGAGTAACAAATTTCTGATGTTTAATTGAAAACTACTCACCTGACTGGACAATAAAATTATAAACCCATTTAACTGCAGCAGTATTATCAAAATGACATGCATGAATTTCAAACTGGTTCAAATCAAGTTTAAACTGGTATTTTCCCAACTGGTATTTTCCCGTCCACGATTGTGGACAGCGGCTGGTCAAAGAACTCTACGACATTGTGCAGAGGTTTATTCAGCTTGGGGAATTACAAACCTCTGCCTCGCAGGGTAGGCGCTGCCAGGCATTTAGAGGGGATGTTAAAACGTTATCTGAATGGCTGAATGTAAAAGGCATTGCTATCACACCTTCAATGCCTGACAGCACCCTGGCAACATTCGCAAATGGCCTTGACAACATGCATTATGGTATAACAAAATGTTTTGTTTAATTAAATATTCAAACATTTGAACAAAACAATTAGCGTTCAAAGGTTGAGTGAAAATCTCAGTGGAAGAGGATTTTGCATTGACACTTCCTGCATGTTTATCAAACTTCTGACAAGGTGATCTTATTGGTAATGGTATACTCCAATTTTGCACCATTTGTACATTTGAAAGAATTGTTATTGTGTATTTTACACATATTAATTATGCATTGTAACAATTTACATGTATGGTATACTCTAAAGCCCTGGACAAACTAGCAAACATTGTTGTGGAAACATTTGTGATTCTTGATGTTTCCTTGATTGTTTCCTTTTTTGCCCACCCGTGGAAACATTGTAAACAGTTGCGGAAACAATTTTTGCTTCCCCGGAAGCATAAATGTTTCATACCAAACTCAGAAACATTTGACGTTTCCCAAGTGTGATCTTTGTTGCAGAAACATTGTTTCTCTGTTCGCCCACCTTGGGAAACAAGGCAAAACATTGGCAGGAAACAATGTTTCCTAGTTTGCCAAGGGCTTAAAATTGGTGTTAGTCTTAAACATTAATGAATTAAATTAACTATCTTCGACTGTTCCTTGTTAATTTAGGGTAACTCATTTAGCTACTACTGTAATTCTCAATAATATTTTAAAGAAATAGATTATTGGATTAATTTGCATGTACAGTATGCCGTAAACCTCCGAATAGAAACCCTGGGCTTATAAAAATATTCTTTTCATAAAGCTTTAT